TATCAACAGGCTGACCCACAACAACTATCTTTGGATCTGGAAGCTTTCTTCCGACGTTTAAGATGCCGTGAATTTTTCGCCGATTCCGACGGCAACACCACGGATAACACGGGCAGTGTTAACAAATTCAAACCAACAAGTACCTGGAATCCTCCTAAGAATCGTTTCCCAGCTGTAGAAACTTTCATTCAGGCCATTGAGGAGGACGTTAAAAACCACGCTCCTAGTCCAGATTTCCGCGACAATCTCACAAAAAATGAGAGGCAGGCTATTGCCAATGCGTCAGCGTGATGAGATTATTATCAAACCAGCTGATAAAGGCTCTGCCACTATCGTAATTGACATTAAATTCTATGAAGAGGAGTCCTTAAGACAACTAAACAATCCTCTTCACTATCGGAAGCACACAGAGGACCCCACTCCGGAAATTTCTAAGGAAGTGGAAAAAAACCGGATTTAAGATGGTTAAAAAAGTTTCCATCGATCCCAAAAATTGGACCCCATCCCATCCAGGTTGATCCGGCACCAGGACGTTTCTATGTCCTACCCAAAATCCACAAAGCAGGTCATCTTGGCAGACCCATCATTTCGGGCAACGGTACTGCTACAGAAAAAATCTCTGAATATGTGGATGATTGATTGAGACCATATGTTGTTGCTCTCCCCTCGTACATTCAGGACTCCACGGACTTTATCCGCAAAATTAACCAAATTTCAAATTTACCTAATAATACTGTTCTGGCTACACTTGATGTTTCGTCATTTATCCCTCATGAAGAAGGTGTTTTCAAATTACAAACAATTTCGGGGCAAAACCCCATCTAAATCACATCTCCGTGAACTTATCATGCTGATTCTGACCAATAATAACTTTGTTTTCGGCGACGGTCATTACCTTCAAATTCATGGTACAGCGATGGGCACTAAAATGGCTCCATCTTTTGCTAACTTACTTATGGGACAATTTGAGGCCAATTTCCTGTTCCTACAGCCCAAGAAACCAGATATTTGGTTTCGTTACATTGATGATATCTTCATAGTCTGGACCCATGGTGAAGATAGTTTGGACGTTCCTATTGAACATTAATTCGGCTCATCCCACAATAAAATTCACTGCTAACAAATCCACAGGCAGTGTAGATTTTCTGGACATCACTGTGACCATGGAAAATGGTACACTCAAAACTGATCTCTTCCGTAAACCCACGGATAAGCATATGTACCTGCTCCCTAGCAGCTGTCATCCCCTGCACTGTACAAAAAATATTCCGTACAACCAAGCACTGCGCATGAGACGCATTTGTTCTTCGGATTTAGATTTTCTGAATCGCACAGAAGGGCTACCCGGACATCTCCGGAATAGAAATTATCATCGAGGACCCATCGAAAAGATAATTTTATAGAAATATAAAAATCTATAGAAAATTGACCTAAGATTTTTTTCTCTATATAAGACCCATCCATTCTCTATAGAGATAGTTCTATAGAAATATAATTATATAGAGAATTGCTTAGAAAAATATGTTATAGAAAGTAATTCTATTTAAATTCTATACAATTTATAAATTTAATTATATATTTTCTCTTTAGATTTTTTAAATATAGTGTCTATAGAATTTTATATTTTTCTTTTTGAAAAATCCTATAAAATTCTCGTTTTATTTTCTATTTAATTTTGAACGATTTTGGATAAATTGTTCAGAAAGACGTTAGAAATTAAACACATAAATGTATAGAATGTATAATACAATTTCTATAAAATTATAAATGGATTTCCATAGAATTCATTTTTTTACATCGTAATTGGGGATTTCTATCAAAATTTTATACATATTCTATATACGTTTTATAGAACGTGTTGACAGATTTCATAGGAAATAATAGGCCTATGTAAATGCCGTATTGTATTGAATTTTATTATATAAATTTATGAAAAAATTACAAACAACTCTTCAATTTTAATATTATCTGGATTTTCTCAAAATCATCTGCCTGCACTTTATCACAAAACATAAATCGATTTCCCTGATGTTTCTAGCAATCAAAATAGAGCATGAATATGCTAATTAGGTAGCTCTGAACAAAACAACAAACACATCGCATTTCACGTAAGAAAACGAGAAAACAATGTTCGAAAACTTTCTAAAATCAGCCTTTTTGTAAGAAGATGAACTGTTTTAATCTTGATATTTAGGACCAGCATTATTAAATGTTATTTTCCATAGGCCTCTTTTGTATTCTAATTTATATGTTTATAATTTAGCTGACTCTGAGAGTCTCACGTGCAGAATATTGCGCACTGATATCCCATGTAGGCACAACAAGCGAGTGAGCGCGCCACTAAACAATAAAATAATAGGCTGTACGCGCCCTTTGAATATCAGAGATACTGTACAGATACTCACTGTGCAAATCGCTTGTGTCCTTGGGCAAGGCACTTATCTATGGTTGCCTCTCTCCACCCAGGAGTACAAGTGGGTACCTGGTAGGTTCCAACACAACAAATACTAATAATTCTATAGAATTTTTAACTGAAATTTATCAAAATTCTGTAGACATTTTATAGAAACCTGTGTCTTTTTCTATGAAAATTCTATCAACTTTCTATAGATTTTTTTCATAATGGTAATTTTCTATAAGTTTCTATATAATTCGTCTAACTTTCTATAGAATTGTATGTGAATTCTATAGAAGTCGATATAATTATTGAAAATTCTATATAAATTCTATAAAAAAAGATTCTATAGTAATTGTTGTAGTTCTATAGAAAATAATGTTTTTAAAGAAATTCTAAAAAAATTTGTTCTATACAAATACTCTATAGATTTTTTTAAATTTTTTTTCTATAAAATTTCTTTAGAGTCTATCAACGCTCTATAGAACTCTATAGGAGTTCTTCAGAATTTCTATTTAAACTACATCAAAACATCTTTAGCGACCTTGTAGAAAATCTATTAAAACTCTATAAAACTGGTTTAGAAAATCATATAGAATTAGCCTATAGAAAAGCTGTAGAAATTTCAGAGTGATTGCAGTTGACCATAATGCCAATTGGAGAGACAAAAATCGTAAAGATAAAGAGAATCACTGGGAACTTTTTCTTAAAACCACCACACCATATTAGGAACGTTCTCCCAGTACACTAAATTAAACCTTTGGCATTCCAATTTATTCTGGATAAATCATTTGGCTTATTTATTGAGGCATGCATCTAAAGTTTAGTTTTGGCCTTCCTGTTTACTTGTTTAGGCTGTTTATTCTAATCCCACCTGGCCTATTGTTTCTAATCATGCTTGCATGAAACTCTCACTTTATACTATCTGGCTTTTTCAACCCTCACTCACTCGCCACTGAGGAAGGACTAGTGTCCGAAAGCTCTGGTTCTATTTCTGGCTGTTTACTTACGTTTACTTTTTAGCTGTTGCTTATCATTTTTGTATCTCTACCGAGATCCAGCCATTGTTTCCCACAGCATTGTTGTTTTTCAGTATTTTGCA